AGCTGCTGCTGTACCAGATATGGATAATCTTCTACTGAGAACAATATTTATCCATAACGAAGTACTGAAAAGATAAGCTTATTATACCCGGTATGGATAATCTTCTACCGGGGATAATGTTTATCCATAACTGGGTACTGAAAAGATAAACTTATTATATCCGGTATGGATAAACTTCTACTGGGGGTAATGTTTATCCATAACCGGGTACCGAAGTGATAAGCTTCTTCAGGAAGCTTATTTCCAATATAGTACTAAATAGATAAACATATTTACGGTGGAGTCCCATATGGATAAGTTTCTTCAGGAAGCTTATTTACAACGGAGTACTAAATGAACATCTATAATATAATATATTTATAACAATTTTAAATCTCTTCATTTTCTTTTAAAGCATATTCAAATAGACACTTTCTTAACCCAAAATTAAAGGACGAAAAAAAAAACATAAGTTAAAGAGCTTAGTCAAAAGGCAATATTTTTAATCGTTCTTTCGACATAACTTAAAGCCAATTTCAGCAAACACTTTTCGAAAAGGACAGAGAGATTGGGGTTGCAGATAGACTTTAACACTTTTGTGGCTTATATTTCCATGTGGATGGACACATTTCCAAACACCCATTTTTACCAAAAAGAATAATAAAAATGATTAAGGAAATTATATGTTTCTCTCTTTCTATATTAGAGTAGATTCCTATACCACAAAAATCTTAAATTACAAATTCCCAATATAAAAAAAAGATATCAATAGTGGCTCTAATTTCTATCGTACAGACCAGAAAAAGCATTAGTAAAGACTCAGAACTCCTCAAATCTTTTTTTAAAGCATAGAAGTGGCTTCACCTCTTTCCCATAGGTTATAAAGGCCACATCTTTCTCTTCTTTTACCTTCAGCTAACCATCCAATAATAATCTTTTTTTTTTCTGCACAAAATCCTCTTTGCCCAGTTGAAAAGAGTTTACAGGTATGAAATGTCTTGTTACAGAACAAATATTTACTGGATATACTTATTTCTTTCTTATTTAGAAGAGATTTCTGAGACTTGTTAAACTTATATGAAATGTTATTTCACGGAGTAGATATCTCTTGAATTAAGTTTTAGTCATATTAGCACGTTTTGCTTTACCTATGTTTTCCAGATGGCGTTTTTGTTTAAGCGGAGCAACATCGATCCGTATAGCCGACCCCAAATTGTTTAGAATAAAGACATTATTGATGTTTGTATTTGTTTCTTGGGAGGTTTGAGCACTGTGTTACAAGTTCAAAGGCTCAGATAATTCACCTTCTGTGAATATTGTGAACCTGGTTTGGATCTTAATGTCATTCCGCTGTGCTTCCTTTCACTACAAAATTGCTTGAAGCTTTGAAGCATCTTGAAGGGAAGCCCGCTGCACGAAGCCAGCCTCCCTAATGAAATGCAAGTATCAGTGGCTAAGTTCACGGTTCGAAGCCAGTCACACGAAGACATCTTGAGTTGACTTGAAACTTTGAAGCATCTTGAGTTGACTTGAATTTACTTCTGGTTAATCCAAGAAACACAAGAGATCTAGTAGTCAGTTGGAGGAGAAAATGAGGAAAACAGAACATGTCAAATCTTGACTAGCTTCCTACTAATCATGTTTAGTTTTATTTACATTTTAATTTTTACCCCTGAAAACTAACCATATCCAAGAAGCTAATCATTTTAAGGAGGTTATTGGGCATGTTGGTTTCTTGGGCCTATTGTGTCATGAGTTTAAATTCTACGAACTCACAGTACAAAAAATATTTATACAATCTGGTCAATTAAAAGATAATTACTTGTAAATCTCTATGATAAACATTAACACCTAACCTGATAAAAATGGTAACTAATATGTTATCATATGTTTAAATTCATTGATAGTTTAAAAAAGTTTATACTGTCAACGTATAGGTCACGGGATCGAGCCGTAGAATCAGCCACTGATGCTTGCATTAGAGTAGGCTGCCTACATCACAGCCCCTTGAGTGCGGTCCTTCCCGAACCCAGCATAAACACGGGATGCTTTGTCCACCGGGCTGCCCTTTTTTGTCGGCGTATAAAACATCATTTGGCTTGAGGACTAACGCTTTCCAATTACTACAGGCACAAAAAAATGGAACCAGAAGAAAACATAAAGCCACATGCCATAATGATACCAGCACCTCTTCAAGGTCACATTGTACCATTCACTCATCTTGCAATAAATCTTGCATCCAAAGGTCTCACCATAACTTTTGTCAATACACAATCAACTCATCAAAGGCTGATGAAAGCTCAATCAGTATCTGGCAGCTCTCTCGATTATGATATTTTCACTGAGGCACGAAAATCAGGCCTTGATATTCGATACACAACGATATGTGATGGTTTCCCACTGAATTTCGATCGAGCAAGGAACCACAATCAGTTCATGGAGGGATTATTACATGTTTTCTCAGCACATGTGGATGATCTCGTAGGAAATCTTGTCGATTCAAACCATAATCCTCCAGTTTCTTGCCTAATAGCTGATAGTTTCTATGTTTGGCCATCAGAGATTGCCAAGAAGTATAATCTTGTTAACATATCATTCTGGACTGAACCAGCTCTGGCATTTACAAGTTACTATCATATGGACCTCCTAAGAAGTAATGGTCACTTTGGTTCTCAAGGTATGATTTCATATCTAAAAATCAGCACTTTATTATTGAGTTTTCAAGTTAATGATTGTTAAAAATTCAATTCTGTTTGACAGATAATCGTGAGGACATGATACATTATATACCAGGCGTTCAGGCTATTGAACCGAGAGATCTTCCTTCATACATTCAAGATCCCGAGCCATGGAGCATAATGCACCGCTACATATTCAAGTCACTTGAAGATGCAAAGAAAGCAGATATGATCATCTGCAACACAGTACAAGAACTAGAGTCTTCAACAATCTCAGCTTTACAAGAGAAGAAGCCATTTTATGCCATAGGACCAATTTTCCCAAATGGCTTCACCAAAAGTGTTGCACCAACAAACCTGTGGGTGGAATCAGACTGCATCGAGTGGCTAAACACCAAGCCAAAAGGTTCAGTTATGTACATATCATTTGGAAGTCTTGCAAATATTAGTAGACAAGATGTTCTTGAAATAGCTCATGGACTTCTCCTTAGCAGTGTGAGCTTTATTTGGGTGGTTCGTCCCGACATCACATGGTCTAAGGAAACTGATCTTTTGCCATCAGGATTTGAGGACGACGTAAAAGACAGAGGATTAGTTGTGCCATGGTGTAGCCAAATCGATGTAATTTCACATCCAGCTATAAGAGGATTCTTGACGCATTGTGGGTGGAATTCAGTATTGGAGAGTATTTGGTGCAAAGTTCCAATGTTATGTTTTCCGATATTCACCGATCAATTTACTAACAGGAAACTGGTGGTTAGTGAGTGGAAGGTTGGTTTTGATCTTTGCAGTGGCAGAATCCTCAGAAGACAAGAAATTGCACAGAAAATAAACTGTTTCACTTCTGAAGCCAATGAATTAAGGATCAACTTAGAGGAAACAAGGAAGCAGCTCGAAGATGCGTTATCCGAAAATGGATCTTCAGGAAGAAATTACAAACAATTAGTCTGTGACCTCAAGTCCAAAATTCTTCAGAAAAGCAAGATTAACAACACAAGCTTACTTTAGTATGGGATGATACAGCATAATTTAGGATCTCAAATGTCATTACACACCTATTCTATTAATGGGATTTAAGCTTCATTCACTTATGGTTAAAAAGAAATTTAAACATCTTGGTGTAAATTGGCCAGTAGCAAATATGTTACCTACCATCTTTACTAGTCACAAACCATGTTCAGTTTAAACATTGACATGCATTTAGCTTTTCAATGATCTGATTGTGTACATAAAACTCTTTTTTAATCTTTTCTCCCTTCTTAGTAAAACAATGTAGATGCATTCCTTTGAGGGCTATAAGAAGGTTAGATATTTGATTCTCATATCTCGTGTTTGAGCCCGTGAAATGGAAAAAAACATGGTCGGAAGTGGCTCCCCCTTTAATGGCCCTTATGCGGTATGAATCCGGACTAGTTAGGGCTCCTATACATGTAGGTACCAGACGTCGAGTGGGAAATCAAAAAAGACTATAAGGGCCTATATATACATACATCTATGACATAAACATAGCTAGAAAGGACTCAGAATCCTCCATGCAAGCAAGTTTCTCTCTTGTTCCTTCCAATTGCTCCTTCAACAACAACAGTTCATTCAAGTTTTCACATTCTTCAACGTCGATATTCTCTAACCAATTACAGAGACCGTTCCTCAATGGCGATGATCTCGACTCAGAAGAGCCGCTAGAAACATCATAAGAACCAGATGATGGATCTATAGAACTAGAAAAGTGTCTGTCAATGGCGGAATTAACATCGCCGGAAATGTAAGGTTTTCCAGTGGGTGAGAAAACAATGGCAGCAACACGAGCACCAGTCATGGATTCGAGTTCTAAAGCTTTCTTGAAAAGCCCTTTACGTCTTTTGGAGAATGTCACCATTCTTGATGCTGCCTTCATGATTTGCTTGATTTCTATCTTCTTCTTTCCCGTCCCCATCTCTTCTTCTCCTTCCTTTTCTTTCTCGAGTTTAAGTTTTATGCACTAATATTGTAATAAAATATTAGGCAATCACAACAGTTATAAAGATCGAATTTTTTTGTTTCAGTACTATCTAAACTGGACTCACCTGCTATTATACCGTCTGTGCATGTAATTTAAGGCCTTCTTATGTTTCTGTATGTATATTTATAAAGAGAGATGGTAACAAATGCTATTTATGTAAGGATTCCTAAAGCTGTTAAAAGTAGGTAGTTTCCTATTAGGAATGTTTCTCTTTTCCATATCCGTTTCCTATTGGTTAAACTTTCTTTTTATCGATTAACATGGAAATGGAAAAGTCAGATTCGTTTTCATTTTTTCCCAGTAGGCGAAATAAGATATCCTAACAGGCCAAGGAAATTTGTTAGTGTTCGGTTTGACTTGTGATTAAGGGTGTTCAAGAAAAAATATCGAAATATATAAAAATATAACGGCATGTGTTAAGATTCAGATATTAATCAATTAAATTACTTTCTTCAGATTTTCGCTTGACTTATTTCTTGTGTCGGATACAAAATTCACCGATTGGGTTTACACATGAAAATTTATAAGCTTTCATAAAGGTTTATCATCAATCTCAAAACTAAGACATGGATTCTATCAACTACGTAATTGTTATTTCGTCAATGTATATTATTATTATCCAATTTACCAGGCATATTGATCCACGAAAGAATCTCGCCTTTTAATAAATCAAAACAATAATAATATACACAACTAATAATGATTATGTCAAGATTAAGAGTATAAGTATATTTAATGATTAGAGAATTTATTTTATTAAGCCAGTATAAAATACTTATCTCTATGATATTTAGGTTAAAGTATACATATTTATATGCATATCACCTCGTATTTTACTCATGTTTCGTTGACTTAGAATGTAAAATGTATTGATTTATGTTAATTCGCGGTGGTTTTATATGTAGGAATCATCCGGAGGAAATATGGGGTGAAAGGTGCGAGATTAGAGCCAAAAAGGAGAAAAAATTAAAAATGCCAATTTCCAGGGCCACAGGCAGCGTGGGGCGCTACCTGTGGGGCGCTACCTGTGGTCCAATTTCCAAAATGTTTAATTTCCCAGCACCAGGGCTAGCGCCCCACGCTACCCTGGGTGCTGGTGACGGGAAACATCTCCTACTTCGCCGGGACAAGGTTATTTCGGCCNGAATTCACGTGGGGGAACACATACCACGCTTGGAGGAGGCTTCTAACTAGTTTTTCTTCTTCTTCTTTTTTTTTTTTTAATTTCATAGTTATTAGTTCTAGAGTTGTGGGTGTCACATGAACGCTGTAGTTTGAAGCTTGAATTGTTCTTATTATTTTATCATATTGGTTTATTTATTCAATCTTGCGCTTAATTATTTGATTGCTTGATCACCAATTGAATACCATCTACGAATCTAGGATTGAACTCGGGAGAGAAAATTCTAGATTGCATATAAGATTGAGTAGAGCAAGATCTTGAACTCGAGCGTCGGGGGGGATTTGCGGTTAGGATAGGGATATACCTAATCGCCTTGCTTGATTATTATACGGGAATTATTAATGCATTCTTGTTAATCCTAATTCCATAGGAATATAGGCGTTAGGTTAGCTTGAATTGGCAAGTAGTACTTCAGGAGATACGAGTAACATTAACCCTGTCAATCAATAAACTAGATAAATTAATTAGACAATTTAGGTAGAAAATTCAACGGGATTTTTAGCTAACATATAGCTCTAGAATATTGTCTCTTATTGAATTCGTCTCTAATCTTGCCAAATTATTTTCTTTAATCTCTTATTTTGTTACTCTAGATTAGTTTAGTTAAATATTTATACTTTAGCAAATCGCTTGAATAGATTAATTATTTGGGTTTAATTTAGTTAATAGTTAATCACAACTCCCTATGGATACGATATCTAGACTTACAATCCTATATTATTTGTCGACCACGTATACTTGTGTGTGCGTTTGGGAGCAACACGTTTTTGGCGTTGTTGTCGGAGACTTGAAAATTGACTATTTTCTAGCTTTTACTTTAGTTGTTTATTTCGTCGAGTCTAACATTTCTTATTGATTACTCTACTCTCAGGAACTTTGATTGAATGCGAAGGGTCAGAAGCCAGGATAGACTTCAAGGCATTGACCCCGAATCTGAGAGAACATTTCATCGAAAGTTGAGGGGAGCAAGGGACATAGATAATCTTCGCACTTGTTCAATTTCCTGTGGACATGGTAGATGAGCAACATATGGTTGTTCAGGAGGTGGCGATGCTCAGCATTGCTAATGCCACATCCAGCATTGTGAAGCCCACAATCACTGAGCACTTTGAGCTGAAATAGAGCATGATCCAGCTACTATGTGAATGAGCAGTTTATGGGTCTTCCACACGGGGATCCACAATAGCACATCCTGAACTTTTTGGAGATTAGTGATGCTTATATCACTAACGGAGTCACTCCAGACTATGTAAGGCTCACACTGTTCCCGTTCTCTTTGTTAGGAAAAGCAAACCGATGGTTGAAGGCGGAACCAGCTAATTCTATTACGTCATGGAATGATCTGGCGAGGAAATTTTTGGCAAGGTTCTTTCCTTCAGGAAAAACTACAAAGATCAAAAGTGAGATAGTTGTCTTCAAACAGAAATCAAGGGAGTCTTTACACTCAGCTTGGGAAATGTTCAAGGTGCTGCTTAGAGATTATCCTCATCACAACCAGAAAAATGAAATGTTAGTTCACACTTTCATAGAAGGGCTACATCCTAAGACAAAGATTGTGGTGGACGCTGCAGCTGGAGGTCAAGTGTTGGAGAAAATCTTCAATGAGATATATGCATTATTGAACAAATTCTCAAAAAGAAATCCTGATCGACAAGGAGATATGGGCAGACACACAGTGCAAAAATCTACAGGGGTTCTCGAGCTAGATGTCGTCTCTGCATTATCAGCACAGGTTGCCACATTGGAAAACCAAGTCAATAAGATGACCTTGGTTATTAACAAGCAACAAGCTCAGCTAGTGCAACAAGTTCAAATATTTTGTGAAGCATGTGGAGAGGGTCACATGAGCGACTTATGCACAGCTAATCCAGAGTCTGTATATTTTGTGGGTAATGCAAATCAAGGCCAAGAAAATCAGTATGGAGACACTTATAATCTTAACTAGAGGAACCACCCAAATTTTTCTTGGGGTGGAAATCAAAGTGCTCATAATTAGTATAGGCCACAAGCTCTTTAACAGCAATATAAACCATCACAGGCTGAACAACCTACGAACTCAACGAGTCATATTGAGTAGATTCTAAATAAATTGATGGCTGATCAGCAGGCTCAGGCAGCAGCCCACGCTGCAGTGATTCAAAATTTGGAAAGACAAGTGGGGAAACTTGCTAGTGCTCAAAATACTCAACCAATTGGGGCTCTTCCTAGTGATACCGAGCCTAATCCTAAAGCTCAACACAATACGGTTACCTTGGGAAATGGAAAAGTGTTAGAAGAAGTTCCAAAGAAAAAGAAGTATACGGCTAGTCCTGAAGGAGAATTAGTTCCCAAGCCAGTTGAGGAGAATGAGAAAGATAGCGGGATCAGAACCAGTAATTATGACAAGGCCACCACCTCCGTTTCCACAAAGATTGCAAAAGCAAAAAGATGATGCTAAGTACAAGAAATTCATGGATATTTTGAGCCAAGTGCGTGTGAATTTGCGTTTGGTGGAAATTTTGCAGAAAGTGCCTAAGTATGCAAGGTATCTCAGAGACATTGTGACAAACAAGCAAAGACATACAGAGTTTGAAACAGTTGCACTTACTGAAGAGTGCATTGCTAGAGTTTAGAGTAAACTTCCTCCAAAGTTGAAGGATCCTGGAGTTTCACAATCCCTTTATCTCTTGGATAGAGCCCTGTTTGATTTAGGGGCTAGTATAAATTTGATGCCACCATCTTTATTCAAGCAACTCAGACTGGTGGTGCTTAGACCTACTACAATCGCTTTGCAGTTGGCAGATAGGTCACTAGTTATGCGAGAATGAATTATTGAGCGTGTGTTAGTTCGAGTGGGAAAGTTTATTCTTCCTACTGATTTTATTGTTCTTGATTACGAGGAAAATAAGGAAGTGCCTATTATTTTGGGGCGACTGATCACACTCAACTATGCCTTATAAAAAGGACTAAGCGGTCGCTGCAAATATAATCTGGTTTACAAGTCCAGAGTTGAATCCAACAGAGAACTAAGGCTTAGCTACAATTGTTCAATATCGCTAAGAAACATAAGTCCAAACAATTTCCTAATTATAAAGATTATAATATTTATTTTTATCTAATTAACTAACAAATACTAGAAAGTAGTAAGACTATCAATTAACAAGGATAAAGATTGGAGACACGATTAAGGAGGTCTAGAGTTATGATTTCCCATATTGTCGGAATCCTTTTTGCTACGTTTTCTATAAATTTGCCTAAGTTTTCTCTACCAATCATGAGCGCTCTAAGTGTTGTAATTCTCTCCCAAGTAACTACCATAATTTACTAGACATAGTCTCCCGAATTACGCTAGCTGGCATTAAGTACGGCTCACTCGGATCGCACCAAGGTTTCGTTATCCCTAATCCCACATTTAAACCCTCCGTATTGATCCCTCATATACGTTAGGAGTGATGTTGTTTAACAACTACCTAAATATTCACTCGCTCCCGAGTAATACATACTAAATAGGCACAGTCGATTGAGATCTCTTCAACCAACCACAATAAAAATGTAGTTGAACAAATAGAGAAAAGCTACAACAAATCTATATTAATGTAACAGGAAAATCATCCTCCAATAGGTTCCATCAAAACTCTAGATAATAAATTAGCTATTCATAATAGTATGCATAACTACAATAATAGAATTCATAACCAATAATGAAAATAGGAAGAAGGAAGTAATAAACTCGTAGAAGAATTCTCCGCCTTGCTCCTAGTGTGTTCTTGCC